TCTGAGGGACTTGAAATTTTGAAGAAAACAACAAGTAACACATCTCTAGCTCCTCATTGCTACCTCTTTTGGAGACCTGGGGCTGATTTCAGATTATGGGTGTACAGTTCATCCAGGGGCATACAGTTGTTCTGAAGAATAAGGTGACAAGTAAAAGACTAATTTAAATTAATGTGTGCTTGATGTGAGGGACACAGTCCTGACTGAAATAAAATAGTCTTCTTAGATCTAAGTAAGGTAATCTCAGTTTGTGCTCTGGTCTTGCACTGTCTAAAGACAGCATAGCACAAACAAGGATATTTGTCAAACTAGATACAACATGTGGCCTAAAATTCAAAACCCTCAAAGATAAAAACAAAAATAGAATTCAAAGTTTCAAAAGATAATAGCTCTTCAGGGTTTTTTTAGTGGTGGCATACATGACAAAGTAGAACTCCTAGAGTTCATTATCAGATAGTCTAGTTTTGTAATGGGTAAAGGTGGAAAATGGGTGAGGGAGATCTGTCAAAAGAGAAGTTGCTTTTCCTTACAATTATGCATATTATGTAAATTTGCAGTTTTATTTCTATAATTTCAGGAGTCCTTAGGACTGTACAAGTAGAGACCAAAAAGGATGAGACATTACAGCAGAAGAAGGGATAAATGATACATAACTTTGTATTGAGGTTTTCTGAAGGCTTGATTTCAGTAAGTTGGAAGGTGTACTTTGTTTTTTTCACTACCTACTTTTATTATGAATTCCTGCAATCAGTGGTAAGGTGTGATAGCAGTTAGCTCTGCTGTGATCATGGGATACTCAAAATTTTCAGTGTTGGTGTTAGTGGTCCTGGGAGCATGCTTTTAATGTGTGCCTTAGGCCCATGGCAGTCATCTTATTCTTGTACAGCACTTGTACATGTTGTACATGTTGAGGATTGTATTGAGAAGTTTGTTGTGGATGTCTGCCTGATGAATACATCTCTAAAGTCACTGGAACCAGTGGCTGGAGTAGCCTACAAAAAGCACAGAACAGGGATTGCTAGTTGGAATATCCTCAGTAGATACAGAGAGTTTGGTAGAATTTCTTGATGTATGACAGGTTATATACAATTGTATACAGCAGTTGTGGTTTAGTTTGTGGTGAAAGGTATTGTTGCCATGACAATATAATATGAAATGATATAACTTGGTGTAGACAGCACAAGACTAATCAGAGGTTTTTAAGTGTACTTTTAGAAAGGCCAGGGGGAGATTACATACTCTTCTGAACATGTGTGGTTCTTTTCCCAAAAAATGAGGAAAACCATTTCTGTATCCCTTGTTTAAAATAGCTAATCACATTAACTGACAGTTTTTTGATGCTGCCTTTGTGCTTAAGGTACTGATTTTGAATAACATGGCATTGTTGCCTCTTTTGGGTCCTTCTAGAGACCAAGAAGTCTAAGGATATTTTTTACTCTTTTAGTGCTCTCTTAAGGCTTTCATTGGGAATGATCCCATAATTTTGAACACTCTTGAAATGCAGCAGATTGCCAAGGCTGTCAGTGGGAATTAGGATAGCATTTAGTCTTTCTAATAATGAAAATGTGGCAGATAGATACAAGTTTCACCAAGTCTTCATGCATTGTTCTGTCTTTGTCTTTCTGGATCATGTTCACTTATTTGGATTACTATCTTAATGATTGCCATACCTTATGTTGAGCTTGTCAGCAAAGCTGCCTTCCAGAGGCCAGCTTTGTTTCAGCATATGGAAGAGGTGCCCATAGGCAATGGTGAAGGTGCATATGGGAACATTGTAACCCAGTAAATCTGATAAAACCAACATTCCTTCGCAGAGATGTTCAAAGCTGGGTAACTTCTCTTTGTCAGACATGGTATTTGAACCTTCTCTTGAACCATGTCATGATATTGCCTCTATTCAAATTGGTTCTTGTAGTATTTTCAAATGAGAGGAGGGAGGAGGTGTGGAATGTTGATTGTAAGTGAGGGATTTTTTAATTTCTAAAAACAATTTGTCTTCAGTTTGATTGAGGAGCTCTGTAATTAGTGTTACATATTATGATTTATATCCATGTAAATCTGCAAGAGGAGTCATTGAAAAAGTGCATGCCAAGGGGAACAGCAAAGAAATAAATGTAGTAAATACCCCCTCTTTGTTTACAGAAGATGGCCTGTATATGCTGCACTGTAAATTACTGTCTGTATGTGTTTAATAAGCTCAACTCACATTGTACCACCATATGCAAAAATGATTGATAATACTTCAAATAATGAGATATAGTAGTCCACCTGTTGTGCCAGTGCTGCCTTGTTTCTTTAGCTATCTTCTGGGTGTTTCTTTTACAAATACTGAAAGCTAAAGAACTCAAATAATATAAATGGTTTAGATTTCCTATCATCTTCTAGCCTTGTGAAGTAGAACCTTGAGATGTGTGGTACATCTGTTTCTGCTAACTAATGAATTGTATCATTTTTCAAGATAATGGGAAACATTCAGCAGTATATGATTTTCTAGAGAAGGTAAGCATCAATTAACTGTAATTCACAATATGTTTAAAACAATTATTCTTTATCATTAAAGTTAATAATATGCACATCAGCCCTTGGTGTAATCAAAATCAATACTGCAGTTTGGGAGATGTGGTCCCTGGACAGCTTTGTCAAAGTATAGATTTCATTGTCATTTGTATAAGGTATGGAACAAATTATGTGCTTCCCTAATATCATTTATGTAGCCCCACTAATGTAGCTACTGTAGCTACTTAGTTTATGGTTTCTAATAATGCATGAAAAATAATACAGAGTTATTGAAGACATTGAGAAATACATTTGCCTAGTATGCTAGATTTAATTGTGGAAGACTAATGCCAACATTCAATATATTTTGAACAGTTTACTGCCCAAAGAAAACTCTGGAGAGAAGAGCAACCCAAGTGGTACTACACATCTCAATTGTTCATTTACATCAGACAAAGTTCCCCTGGGTCCAGGAAGCAGCAATTTGTTGTTCAGCTTTCTACTTACATGAAAATAATGTGTACACTTGTACTCTGCCAAAGGCAAAGGTTACTCCCTTCAGCTACTGGAGAAAATAAAAATATAAAGGCAGGATATCATGTCTCTGTTTTGTACAGCATTTATAGCAGTTGCCATTACTGACATAATTTGAGCTATGAGTTAAATAATTCAGTTCACAATGTGATTTCTTCCCTTTATTGTCTGTTTATTGAAAGAGGTGTCCCCACCATGCCCCTCATGTTTTCATTAGTGTTCTTTCCATCATAGCTGTTCCTTAGGTCTACCTTGCTACCTCCTTAACCTTCTAGAAAATTTCAGGATTGCCCTGAAATGCTGAAGATACCAATCCTGCCACCTTTTTCTTTCTCCCACTTCAGAGCACTCCTTTTTCAGACAGCCAAGCTGCTCTTAAGCATCAGATTCAGGTGTCTGCTTTTCTTCTTATCCTTTTTGTCGTAGTTTGGTCAGGGACGTGTGAGGGCAGAGCCTGGGGCCACATCTAGGCTGTTATTCTATACACTCAAATCATCGCTGATCAGGGAGTCTCACTTCCCAGATGAAGAGGTCATGGCTTCGGGTGGAGGAAGATGGGGGCAGTGCACTTCCTTTCTGGGGGAGTGTGTGGTGAGAGGAATGGTGGGTTGGTGCTGGTCCCAACTGGAGAATTTGTCTAACGTTGTAGTTTTTTTCATTGTCTTGGTCTTGGGGAGAAAAAGTGTAGGTGTGGAAAGTTTGTGTGCTATTATTTTTTATTGTCTCAGGCTTGTGGGAAAAAACGTGGTGGAAGGAGAGGTTAGGTGGCACTATCTGTGGAGGTGGTGTGTCAGACTCCGCGAGCGTTTTGCATGTAATCACCTTCTCTTCTACACTGTTACTGTTTGCTTTCTTATCTAAATACTGTTTCCTGTAAGTTGTTATGTCATCCCATAATTTCTGCCTTTAGTTTCTCTCACCTGAAAGAGAGGCTGGGGAAGAGGGGAGCAGCTTATTTCTTGGTGGGCTTAAACCATGACACCTTTCCAAAATCAAACTATAAAAGGGTTAGTGTCAGTTTCATGTTCTACCCCTAAACTTGCAGTTGTAATCATTTTTCTTGCACTTTCCTTAGTATCTAAGCTTGTGTGCAGTCTTTTGCTGTAATCTGTCTATTTGATATTTAAGGACACAAACACACGCACACACACTTGATTTTCTTTAAAGGAAATAAACATAGACCTCCATTTCCATTATCCTGCTTGCACACAATTATCTACATAATGCATTTTTCAAAACAGCAGCTTCATACTTTCTCTTTTGGTGGCTTTCATGCTGAGGGTCCTCCTTGTAAACATACCCAAAACTACTTTTTTGTGCTTCAATATATAATAAAATATCAACCATGTTTGCCTTTCTGCTGTGCTGAGACTACACCCCATCATTCCAGCCCATACCATCTCATTCTTTAATTATACTTGCCCACTTTGCCATCTGTTAGGCTTTTATATGAGGCTGTCTTTAAGATTCTTTGATTCTGGGGAGAGAATTTGTTCAGCGTGAAACATAATACAGAACAATAGTCTTTGGATAATTTTTGTAGGTGCTATGTTGTTACAAATAATACAGAATAATTATCTGTATATCAAAACACTCCCATTATGTTATCTTTAAAGTCGATGGAGAATTGGTACCATTGAAGTAAAGCTCTCTTAGCTGTCTCTCAAGGGTGCTTGGCAATTTTTAGGAACATGCTGTGTTTCATCAGAAGTGTCTGTATGGTGATTTTTTTTGCCCCCCCCCCTTTTTTTTTTTTTAAGGCAGAAAAATTGTTCTTTTAGCAAAGAATGTTAATAGATTATGGAGATGAGTAGTGTGTTATGGATATCTTGAATATAGTGCAGACCAAACCATCCATTACAGTGAAGCTCAGAAAATGAGAAACAGCCCCCCAAACTTGTTTTTATTTACAGCTTGCTCATCATGTGTTTTCTTAGTTCATGCAATTTGTTCACAATTTTCTCTTACAGGTAAAAGTGACCCATTTTGTGTAGTTGAATTGAACAATGACAGACTTCTGACACATACAGTCTACAGGAACCTCAATCCAGAATGGAACAAAATCTTCACATTGTAGGTGTTTGGATTTAGGTGGGGGGGAATGGATGGGCAGTGGTTTTGGGTAGTTTTTTGGAGGTGAGGGTGTTGCAGAGCAAGCAAAAATGCTTACTGGTAGTTCTAAAGAAGAATGGTGATGACATACTGATAACTGCCTAACTAAACATCCAGTGCGTTTTGAGGATTGAAGATATAAAAAATTAGAGAAATTATATAATTTTGAATGTAAAAATGTCAGGTCTGTTTTGTGGAAACCAGGTATGAGTAATGCTGTGCACACCAGACTCCTGTTAGTCAAGCAAGTGATTCAAGGGTCAAATCCAGTGTGATGGATTTGCCCCTGAAGTTTTGAGTAGGGAAAAAAGATACTGTGAATATGACCTTCATTAAAATGTGGTTGTTAACTGTAAAAAAACATTAGATAACTACATAAAGTAAGAAATTTTACATGCATTTATATTTCTCTGAATTATGATGAAATATTTTCCACTTCTTGTTTCCATTTACCAGCTGCAACTCTCACAATACCATCTAGTATAATACTTGTACAATCCAGCTATAGGGTAAAATGCAGTCTAAAACAATTTAATGGGAAGTTATGTGATTGGTTCTTTTATCCTTGTCTTATTTTGAATGCAGTTAAAGGCTGTGACAAAGTAGAAAAACAGTCTTCCAGAGACAAAATGTCGTTGTTTGCCTTGCTCAGTCGCCTTTTTTTCCTCCCTTCTCTCTTTCTTACTGTAATGTGACACCAATGAGGAGAAAAAACTGATCATTGCAGGTCTCACTACTGCGGAAATTAGTAATAATCCTCTGCAAAAACAGTAGAAGCTTTAGTTTTGTGTACACTTATTTCACTTTATCATACATGAAAATGCTATATTTTACCCTTAATCTCAAAACTCAGTGTGATTTTAATTTTTGTTTTCCCCTCTAGATTTGTTATTCATACATGTAGCATCTACAGGTTTTCTCGACCTGCAGTGAGCTCTCAGAAATTAATTCAGAATGAAAGAAAAAAAATCTCACAGTAGTTGTACTTTTCAATGGCTTATTACAGTAGTTCTCATTTCTGTATCTGCAAAACCATGCTTAGTTGTTCATTGATATATTTTTAATTATTTACCAATAGAGCCAGCAACTAATCATCCTGTACTTCTCAACAGTGTTCTCTGAACAAGGAATTGCCTGGACTTGTAGAGGACAAAAGCCTATCAGAAATCGAATAGAAAACCTCTAAAGGCTTTCAAGGCCTTGCTTCTATGTACATTTGCATTTATCCTTGGACTTCTTAATTAATTTTTGGGCTAGCATTCCCTCATCTGAAGGAGTATATTTTATTGAAGTTCAGCTGCTTTGTTTGAATTTGTATTTCCTGGAACAGCCATTCAATCAAACATGAGTTCTGTAAAATAATTTTTTTTTATTCAAATAAGGAATATGAATTTTTCTCCCAGAAGTTTACAATGTACAGTGACATTTCCTGTGCATGGCAATGGAGTGTTTAAGAGTGTTTAATAGCTTGTAGTCTTTTTTCCTCAGTTGTACCTGAGAGATGCATTGATCCATGTTGTTTGTTCCTTATTTGATGTAATTTGTTGTATATTTGTAATTAACTGAGGATTTCAGAAACAAAGAACTTGTTGTTAGTGCAAGTATATGCTCTGTAGCTTGTAATTATTTCCAGTTTGTAACCTACAGGTTTCACTGTATTTGCAGAAAGAATTGCCACAAGGGTAGCAGTGTTTAAGAGTAGCTTTTAAAAGCTCTCTGTCCTTCTGCTGGTGGCTATACCCAGTATAGAGCACCCAGTGCTGCTCCTTGCAGGTCATGCAGTGCAAAGCCCCGGTTTAAAGCAACATCCTTCAGAAAACTTCTGCTGGAAAAACCTTGCAGAGAGAGGAGTGATATCTGCAGCCCTTAGAAAGTATTTTTGTTATAAAAAGCCTTGCAGAGAGAAAAAGAGAGAGTAACCATTGCAGCCCTTAGAAAGCATTTTGGTTATATTCAGAGATGTCTCATTTACTTGAGCTCAGTTCTCCTCCCTGGCTTGAAAAAAACAGATGGATATCTGTGCTAACCTTTGACAGTTTTGTCCTTGGTACCCGTTGGTGTGACTTCTTTCTTCTGTGTGTACTTCTCTCTTCGTAGCAATATAAAGGACATCCACTCAGTGCTTGAAGTGACAGTTTACGACGAGGACCGCGATCGAAGTGCTGACTTTCTAGGCAAAGTTGCTATACCATTGCTGTCTGTAAGCCTCATTCACCTGACATACTGCTCTGAATTTTTTCTGAAAATGAAAGGGGGGAAAGAGGGAAAAAAAAATAAAAAATTTGCAGCTCTGAGTCTGTCATTTCTCAACCAAGGTCTGTAATAACACTAAAATTTTAACATACTCTATTCACGGCCATGTTGAATCCCATGATAGTTAATTTTTCCTGACAGACTCGGTCCTGGTAATGAACAGGTACTTGTCAGACTTGCCACAGTTGTTTTGGGTTCTCTGTCAGTTTCAGCAGCTGGGGGTCAGGGGTCACCGGGGGGGTGTATTCAGCGGAGACCGCAAGACAGACGGCTGTCATGTCCTTTTCCTGCAGATTCAAAATGGTGAACAGAAAGCCTACGTCTTGAAAAACAAGCAGCTGACAGGGCCAACAAAGGGGGTCATCTATCTTGAAATAGATGTGATTTTTAATGCTGTAAGTCTTAACTTTAGGTTTTTTTGTACTGCTAAAGAGTTCAGTTTCATGAAAGCTTTTGTTCCTGATTTGTAGAGAATTTCTGTCATTCCTCATTTTCTCTAAGCCTTGATTTATACTACAGAATACTCTTCTGCCACTGCTTGGCACACCCACTCTTTTTGTTGCTGCTGCTGCTATTGCTGCTAATGTACTGAACAGCAGCTCTTGTCTCTGTGTATGCTTATGTGTCCCGAGCTTGGCAGCCATGACTTTGAAACTTGGTAAATTTTGCGAATTGAAGCCTGTGTTATTAGTGAGGAGCAAGTAAACTTGAAATACTGACACGCGTTTTAATGCATAGGTGAAAGCCAGCATACGAACCTTAATGCCCAAAGAACAGAAGTACATTGAAGAGGAAGACAGACTGTCTAAACAGGTAAAGAGTAAGGAAACACTAATCCTTTCTAAAATCCTTAATATCAAGTGTGCACATTCAAATATCTGGTGTCATACTGCTGAGAGTAAAGAATAACATTTTCATTACGTGTTTACAGAAGAATATGATAGGTTGAAAAGTCAGAAACAAAATACATGGGTTTAATGTGTCTCCTCTATAAATTGCTGCCTAATTTCCATGAAATACATGAATAAGAGCACAGTTGAAACCATCAGGTTTCACACGTATCATATTATTGCACAGGTGCATGTAAAATAAGTCTTGCGTAAATTTTTGCTGTTAACTTCAACACAAAAGTTCTCCATTTGTTTCAGGGTAGAGAGCCAGCATTCTTTTAGCCAAATTTCAAAGAAGTTACTTGAGTAAGGCTTGAATCAAAGGTGAAAGCAGACTAAAACTCTTTGGAATCCTAGGAATACAACTGGACTCTTTTTTCTCTGGATATTTTTGCTACACACAGTTTCAATGTTTTGGTAAAAAATTATTTAAACACACATTTTTCTGCGCTCAGACTACTTTGGACTCAGTTTTTCATGTCCCACAAATGTTGTATCTTACATGAAGAGAACTTGTTAGACTACAGGAACAAGATTTTTGTTGTTTTCAGAGAAAAGTCAGAGATCTCAGAAATGTTTTCTTTGTTTCTGAAAGCTTGTAGACTTGAGCATGGTTTAAATTACCTGCTGGATGATTTTTATATCAGTTTATGATATAGTTCATAAAAAAAAATTTCAAGAGGCAAAATATTTCTTTATTTTCAATTTTAAGTAATGCAGTTACTAAAGCTGCATTTTGCACTACTATTCCAGCTAAGAAGCAACAAAGCCTTTTACTCAAGATTCATTCTTCTTCCCACTTTCATAAATGAAAGTGGCATTGTGACTTTTGGAGATGGCAGGAGGAGTGACCATTTGCTATGCGACTCAGTACACAAATCATTCACTGATTTGTTCACTTTTTGTGGTGAAGTGTTTTGCCATTTTAGAAGATTAAAGTACATTTTCCTGAATCAAAATGTAGAGTTTTTATGTCTTACATTTATGTACTTTGAAAGTATGTAGATTACTTTGGTAAATACTTAAAACAATGCTTTCAAAATACATCACAGCAGAAAAATTTGTAAAAAATGTTAAATGGTGCAGATATCTTAATTATATTAGACCAGTAAAGTTTCATGGTTTCAGTTTAGTGTCTTGCAGCATCTTTTTTATTAAAAAAGTCCAACATTTGTTAAGAAAGGCTTAATGAAACTGAAATCTAATTAACAAAATAATTTGTGAAATTTTGTAAGTGGCTTTTTAATGTTGAACAATTTTTGTACCATCTAGAATTAAATTCAACAAATACCAATTGATACAATTAGCAAATTCTCTCTCTTCCAAGTCACAGATTTTAAACTAACTTGCTCAATTTGTTAGCTAGAGAGCTTAGTATTTTCTAAGCCTTCACCCAAATTGAGAATGGCAGTATTGTTAGCATGAACTTCTCCAGAAACTTTTTGAGGTTTTGAAATATTTTCAATCTTTCATCCTTTTAACAGCTACTGTTAAGGAACTTCATCCGGATGAAGCATTGTGTCATGGCCGTCGTTACTGCTGTCTGCTATATTAGCAGTTGTTTTGACTGGGATTCTCCACCAAGAAGTCTAGCTGCTTTTTTGGTATGGTCTTTGTATTATTTTTAATCATCCCAGTGTGTTTATGTTCTAGACTGAGAGACAATACTGTGTAGATTGGTGGTTTCTTTTTAATTTACTTTAAAGTTTGCATTATGATGGTACCATAACTCACGTTTATTCGGTTTTAAAAAAAAGTAATCGAGTTTAAAATGTCACACAAATAAGAGTGTTCTTTTAAACATTATAATTGTATATTTATAGTTAAAATGTAATAGATTATATAAGCAAGATTGGATTACAAGCAGGTAATCCAAATCAAACCAGAGTCAGTGAACTATGGGTAATATATTTTAAGCTTCTCCCTTAATGAAATAATATGATATATAAATGAAATAACATATAAATAATGAAAAAATTATTTCCATTAAATTTTGTTTGGTTCCCTTGCATATTGAATATTAACTCTTAAAGTATTTTTGTTTACTGATTATTCACAGGTGGTGTTCCTAGATTAAAAACATCCACAAAAATAAAACAAACCCAACCTTAAAACCATAAATGCAAACAAACTAGTACCTTTTAGGCAGCAAGCTCTGGTCATAGTTTTTAGTGAATGGTTTTAGTGAATTTTTTCTTAGCTATTTAAACAAGATGGCCACTTTCTTCATGAACATGATCTTCATTATTATTAACCTTTATTTTTATGTTAAATTTTAAAAATTCCAAGCACAATTGTAAGATTGCATTGTGTTACCCAGATAAGTACCTTTTTATTTTTAAAAATCATAAGATCTACAAACAAGACCATTATTTTTTCATATGAGAGTAGAAATGTATGCATGGACATACTTTCTGGAATTTATACGTTTATTAAATTGGCTGAAATACTCTGATTTGGAGCCTCTCCACCACGATTATGAACAGGGAAGTTTTGGTATAACTTTGAATTCACACATTGTCTGGTGACAGTACTTTTTACTTGGGTGCTTGAAGGTCAGGTGCCTCAAATTTGGAGAAATCAAGCCAGGCATTGGGGTAGTTGGGTGTGTCACTAAGTCATGCTGTTTTGCAGAAAGTTTCTTCTAACATAGCCCCATTTGAACTCTGTTGCTTGTTAAACCCTCCTGTTCCTGTCAAGGATGGCAGAATGCTGTTGGTCCTTGATTGCCATGTTCATTGGGAGTACAGGAGATATATATGCTATTCAGAGAGCCAGGGGGTTGTACTTTTACTGATGTCTGTAGTAATGGCACTCTGTGCAAAGATTGAATATGCTTGCTACTGTTTGCTGTGGGAAGGCAATCTATCATAACAGTTAAAAGTTATCAACACTTCATAGGAAAATGCAGGTTTCAACATAAAACTCAAATGTTAATATTGCTATTACTGTTTCAGTTAGTAAGTATTCATCACTCTAAGTCAGATTTTAATAAGGATATGGAGCACTCAGCTGTTACCAGTGGAAGAAAGGAAAATGGAAAGTCATCCTATTCGTTGGGCAGATTAATATTTTTTTGCCCATGGCACACTGCTGTGGCCGTGGAAGAAGTGGTGTTACTGTTAAACTGTAATTGTTTCTGGTCATAGAAAAAAATCAGTATCATAATAAGTAGTCGTAGTAGTGGTACGTAAAACAGAATTTGAGTAGGGAGGTCAATAATCAGTATATGTTATTATTATAGTTACAGTGCATATTGCAGTAGAAATATGTTTCTGATTATATTTTATAGATATATTCATATTTTTCATTCCTATCTATATAGAGAGACATATTTCAAAAATCTGATTTTCTTTGTTTTCTTACAGCATTTGTTTTGCTGTGTAAGTGTTGCAGTAGATTTTTATGTTTACATCAGTGCTGTGATTGTAGAGATGTATTCCTGTTCTGCATCCAAAATGCATCCAAAATGCATCCTCTGCTTTTCTGCCTGTTGGTATTCTCTGCAAGGATCAAGTCATTCCTCTGTCAGGCAAAAGAAGTTTTTGCTGGCCAAGTCAAATATTTGTGAATTTTTATCGTGATTATAAGCTTTGGGTTTAGATGTTTTCTGGACTTTCATAGGCTGTTGACATCTTGAGAGCGATCCATTTATTTGTGTTATGGTGAATTATACTTGCACTAAGGCTACATTTGAATTTAATACAATGTACAAAATAAATGTACATATATGTTACATTTTCTGTTCACTGTTATACAAATTACATATCCTCTTGAAGTTGTTTTCTAGAGGCTAGGAAATGTCACAGTGAAATGTCAGTTCCAGAAAGGAGATGAGAAGCAGTCTGTTCTGGAGGTCTTCAGCTCTTTAGGTAGACTAATAAACAGCATATGAGAAGTAAAGTTTTAAATTAACCATTTCTTCTATCCGGTTGGATTTGAAAATACACTGCAATGGGTGCATCCTGATACACAGTTAGAGTTATTTCACCTAAATTGCATATGTAAGGGTAATTTTTTTGTATCTCCCAATGCCCCACATTTTTGGCATTACAATTATGGATACTTTTTTACCATGAGGCTTTTCTTTCTGATGGGGATATGCAGGACCACAGGTGAAGAACTTCTGGCAGAATAGCTCAGTTTTCAAAAATGTAATTACTAAGATAGATCAGGAAAGGAGAACTACCCTTGAAAACCTACTGAAAACCTTGATTAATATGGTAACCATAATAAGTTACAGTTACCTGCTTTATATGCCTTGTGCACTCTTCACTGCAGATCTTATTAAAATCATTTGCCTTTGTTAGTCACCAAGGTTAACAGTGTTCATTGATGGGGCTTGCTGATTATTTATACTCCTTAGCTTAGCTGTCTCAAACTTTTACATTATTTGGAACATTTTAGGCATGGAATTGCTGTATTAAGTTTTAGGATGTTTCTTTCTAAAATCTGTCTGAAGCCATCATCTCAATGACCAGTGTTGCCTGTGCTGTTGATAGAGATACAGAAACTTCAAATTAAGTTTTCAAGGTTCTAGATTATGCATTTCCTCAACTAAACAATATTTTACCTGTTTCTATTAAACTTCATAAGCTCATCATCTTCACTGGGGATTTTGTCTGAATAACTGAGAGTTTTCACTCCCATTTATTTTTTTTATGCTTTGGTAATTCACAGCAGAAGAAAAATTCCTACCAATATAGATATGTATTTTCATGCTGATATAACTATGATGTATCAATAGCTGTTATTTTTCAGATACCTAAAAATACTTAAAGATAATAAAGATGATAATAAGTAGCTCATGAACCATAGGTTGATCTGCCTAGCTCTATGACTTTGTCATAGAGCAATTAGAAAATTCTATGTTCTCTCCTGCTTTTTTTTGTATTTTTTGTTAAATAAAGGAAGTACATATCAACAATATTAAGTTAATATTCCAATTCCAGTACAGCTTTATTATATCACATGTCTAGAGGCTGATCAAGAATGTGTTATGTACTTATGTTTATGCTTCCTAAGGCCTAAATACAATGGGGAAAAACAGAATATGTAGAGAACATCTGCCATAAAATCACATATTTTTTTCTGTTTAAAACAGACCTTTGCAATATTTAGCAGTTAATTTTTTTTATTATTATTTGGTAATTAATATGGTACATTTCAGGAGAAAGAACTTTAGTAGAGTATGCAAAAGTGGATGTTTTTTCCTCAGATTAATCCACTGTGGGCACTGAAATGTCTGCTAAGTTTAGCCTAATTTCCATCAGCTTCTTGACCAGACATTTGTGTTCTTTTAGATGTCAGTGGGTGCAACATGAGGCGAAAAAGGTGTGTATTCTTTTTTTCCAATACTAGCATTTCTCACTGTAATGAGCTGAAAAATAATTGGACAATGGGGCTATCAGTGAAAGGACACTCTTCAGTGTGAGTCAATGAATTATTTTATGGTACAAACTTTAATCTTGAAATGTGATTGTAGATAATTTGTGCTACCGTCTGTCCATTTGGAATCCTTTTAACCATTTCAGTCATTATACAGTAAGTACTGCTGTGTTTAACATTAACATTTGATACACATTTAATTTCTGTACTGCTCTGTGGTCCTTAGGGAGCTTTGCTCTAGTGCTACATGAGAAAGACAAAGTATTGATCAGTTAACATTTCAGCTATGTATGTTGCAAAATTAATGAAAATGCCAGACAAAAATGTCAGAGTGCACAAAAAGGTAAAATTTAAATTTGGTAGTTTAATGAAAAGTTTAAGATGAGCATTATCAAAAATATCCCCTTGCCTTTAAAGTACTTTTTATAACTGAGTAACTAAAGAGAACCCTGTATTTTACTTAGAGGAACACTAAATATGAAGTATGAGAGAATATATAATCTTACATATATATAAACACTTACATATGAAGTATTTGGTATCCCAAAATGTCCTTGGTAAGGTACTTAATTGTCTACTTGAACATTTAACTGTTACTCATAAAATTAACATTTCATTTCTCAGTAGGAGGCAGAGTGCCCTCACCTGATGAACATACATGCTAGCCTCAAATTAAAGCTTCTCATGGACACTTCTCCTATTCCTGTTCCTATTCATTTCATTCATTCTATGTGTGTGCATGCATACAAAGAGAAAACATTTTTTCTTTCCCAGCCTCTCAAATATTGATGAAGTGACTCTCCCTGCATCCAAATCATTTGTCAGGCCTAACTCACCTTCACTTTGTCTTCTAACATTACAGAATTCAAGTGTGAAAATGACATAATAGTGTCCCTAGCTTTTGATTTAGTGCTAGTTCTCTTGCACATATGCCATTTAGTTCTGGAGGTGTCACATTAATTAATTGAAAAGGAAACAGGATTTAAAAGGACTAGTTCCTAGAAGGAAATGAGACAGCAGAACAATTTTGTCAATTTACTGAGCTTTTCCCTAATAAAAAGGGAAACAATACTGTGTATTTTGGAAACAATGTTTACGCAAAAATGAAGACAAAGAAAGATTATTTTTCCGGAGAGACTTGGTATGATACCATCAGGGGTTGGAATGCCTTTGTTGTAATTATTACATATTTTCCTTATTTTTTCACACTGTAATT